GCTAGTATGGTAGTCACAGCTACACATGTGGAGTAAGACTGCATGGGCTTGACTTTTATATTTATGGATAGGTGTACAATCTTGGGCAAGTTACTGAATCTTTCTGAGCTATGTTTCTTCTTTTTTAAATAAGGATAACATTGGGTTATTGTAAACATTAACCCAAGATGAGGTATATTAAATGTAGAGTATAAGGCCACTATGATAAAGCAAAAATAGATAAGTAAAAACAAGAACAAAAAAGCAGTAAAAGGCCTAATGCTCAGAAAAGAAGTAAAACTCTCATAATTCGTACATAACGTGCAAATACATAAAAGCACATAAAAAAAACTCTGTAGAATCTATAAAAAAACTTGAATTAATGGATTTAGTAAAGTCACAGGTTACAGTCAACATAAGAATCATATTAGAAATACTGTGTTCTTCATAAATAAAAAAATTAGAATATAAATGAACATATCACCATTAAAAACATCTAACATACAGGAATAAATCTTTAAAAAGAGCCTTTATACTGAAGACTACAAAACATTGCTGAGAACAATTTAAAAGTCAGAAATAAGGCTCGGCGCCTGTGGCTCAAGTGGCTAAGGCACCAGCCACATACACCTAAGGTGGTGGGTTCGAATCCAGCCTGGCCCCTTAGCTGCTTGAGCCACAGGCACTGAGCCTGTTGCTTAGAATTTATAATAAAATTTATGTTAAAATGTTCAAAAGTAATATATTTTTAATTATGGTTATAAACATAACATAAAATTTACTATTGTAACCATTTTAAGCGTACAGCTCAGTAGTATTAAGTATATTCAAATTGTTGTGGAACAGATCTCTAGAACTTTTCCACCTTGCAAAACCGAAACTCTATTAAATAACAGCTTCCCATTACCTCCTCCCCTTATCCCTTCACAACTACTGTTCTACTTTCTGTTTCTATAAACTTGACTATTTTAGTACTTACTTTATGTAGGTGGAATCACACAGCCTTTGTCGTTTTGTGCTGACTTACT